TGTAATCAGCCATTACTCTTACAGATTAACAGATGACAGAAAATAATTTAATAAAACATTTCATTTAATCTCCTTTAAAAAAGGAGAGAGCCATGGATGACCCACGCACTTTTATATACATGACCTATTCGTCCAGGAATGTCCCTGCCTTTTCCCACTGGCATGGAATATCCCTTGAGTCCTGATAAAATAAAACTGAACCGTCTGTCATTTAGGTCTTTCATTTATTAGCATTCATTCTGTACAAGAAGGAGCAAACTAACGCAGATTCTGTAGGAACCACAAGATGCTGGAAAAACACTCACCGAAGTGTCTAATCTTTTGTTCATGTTTTTGCATAAGCGGTTCAGACACAGCTTCATCTTCAATTTCTTTTCTTTTTTGATTAATAAAACTCTGAGGAAGAGAAAGATTGTACTATCACATAAACTCCACACATACTGTTTAGTGACATAAAGGACTTATTATACTTTAATATGTTACTATTTAAATGGCTATGTTCTAATTTTAGAGTTGTATCATATTTGAAGAGGTTTTGTTTTTGTTTTTTTTTTTCAGAAAGTGTGTTACCTAGTAACAGAGTTTCAAAGTTAGTCTGAAAAGCTTGTTTTCAGATAGGAACTTAGTGATTTGTTAGTCATGAGAATCACGTACATTGCAGCCTGGATCAGATAAATCAATGAAATTAGGAAATGTGATAGTGATACCAAACAGATTTTTCCTTTCATCTATTCTTCATGTGTATTTGTAGCTCTGTAGCCTGTTACTGTATAACTATACAGACTCATAGCTAGAATTATACCTACTCGGTTAGCAAGAAAGAAAAAACACACACCCAAAAGTTCAATCCTAATTTAGTTTCTTCTGAGACTAAGGACAACATAAAGAACTTCTTCTCCCATAAAGAACTAGAGAGGAATGGGGGCTTTAGAAGAGAGTTTAACCAAGACGGGGAATTACCTCAAAATCTGTGTTTCTAATTGGGCATTCTTGTTAATTATGTTAATTTGCTACACTTATAAAACTGTAGTTGCTCTGTGTCACATGTGCACCTTTGGTGCACTTTTCAGTGTGTATGTTGGTATGTTGTGCACCTGAAGGGGCCCTTCATAAAAAGCTGACTGCATTTATCACTTGACTGTGTCTGGCTTGGCTCAGTAAAAGACAACGATAGCTGTTGAAATTAAATTGTGAAATCAAAGATGAGATCCTACTATTGAAAAGTGTTAATGCTAAATAATTTGTATTTCAGTAGACAGTATTAGAGGAAAACTAGGTTTCATATTCTTGGCTGGATCGGACATTTAAACACCAGAGTTTCAACCCTCCCTGCAAGAACATTAGGTTGCTCCAAGAGCAGTTCAATCTGACCTCTGTTGCTTCTAGGGATTGTGCATCTACAACTTCCTTGAGCAACCTGTTCCAGTGTCTTGATACCCTAATAATAAAAAAAGTCTTCCTCACATCCTATCTAAACCTACCATTTTTCATTTTAAAGCCATCCCCTCTTGTCCTGTCATCACAGGCTGTGATAAAAAATGTTTTCCTCCATCTTATAAGGCCCCTTTAAGTACTGAAAGATCACATGAATGTAAATAAGGGCTCCCTGGAGCCTTTTCTTCTTCAAGTTGAACAACCTCAGCTTTCCCAGCCTTCCCTCATAGGAAAGGTGCTCCAGCCCTCTGATCATCTCTGCAGCATTCCTCTGGAGCTGCTCCAACAGATGTCTTTCTTGTAACTGAGGACCCCAGAACTGGGTGCATTACTTTGGGGGTGTGCCTCAGGAGAGCAGAGGGGCAGAATCCCCTCCCTGGCCCTGCTGCCCACACTGCTTTGGATGCAGCCCAGGACACGTGTGGCTTTCTGGGCTGTGAGTGCCCATGGCTGGGTCAGGTCCAGCATCCCCAAGTCCTTCTCAGCAGGGCTGCTCTGATCTGTTTATCCCCAGCCTGTGCTGAGATGGGAGAACCCAGGTGTAGCACCGTGCACTTGGCCTTGTTAAAACACATGAGATCCCCATGAACCTACTTCTCCATCTTGTCCAGGTCCTCCTCGAAGGCTTCCTTTAAGTCTGATAACCACCACTCAGCTTGGTATCATCTGCAAACTTGCTGACAGTGCACTCAATCCCTGTTTAATCTTAATGAAGATACTAAATAACGGTGGTCCCAGAACAGATCCCTGAAGGACACCACTGGCTTCTGGTGTCCACTGGGACTCTGAGCCATTGACCCTACCCTTTGCATGACACCAACCAACTACTTTCATATCCACCTAACAGTCCACTCACCAAATTCATTTCTCTCCAGTTTAAGGGAGAAGTATGTTATAGGAGACCACATCAAAGGCTTTGCAGAAGTCCAGATAAATTACATCTGTAACCTGTCCACTGATGCCATCACCTTGTCATAGGTCACTGATAAGGCCACTGAATTGGCCTAGCAGGACCTGCCCTTGGTGCAGTTGTGCTGGCTGTCCTGAACCCCTCCCTTTCCTACATGTGCCTGAGCACAGCTCCTAAAAGGGTCTATTCCATGACCTTCCCAGGCACAGAGGTGAGTGACATAACTGTGTTTTTGTTCTGTTCAAGACACAGAAGACACTCATAGATTAGTAACAACTAAAATGAACAAAAGAGGCTAGCACTTGTTTCCATGCACAGTGATGTAGGTCGTACCTTATTAAAAACTTCTTTACTAACAGGATCTGTATTCCATAGATTCTGTCGTTCCCGCTGGTTTAGTGCTTCTTCTTTTCTTCTCCACTCTTCCTCTCTCCATCTCAACTCAGCAGCTTCAGTCCTTGCTTGAGCAGACTCCTGATCACAGGATTCTGAATTATGCAGTGCTAAACTACCAAATTTTTGCTGGGCTTCTGCTAGGTTCCACGTGCTTTCTACAGAGTGCTTCACAAACTCTCTTTCTTTTTGGCAGGCTAATTCAATCCCTTGGTTGTATGTCTGTGAAGGAAATCAGACATGCTATTTATGGAGAGAAAATTGTTGATTTACAGTTTCTATAGAAGCAGACTGGCCTAAATCCCAAAGCTAATAATAATGCACCTGGAAGGCACCTTAGATATGCAGCATTATAACAGCAGAAGTGATGAAGCATGGCAATGTACAGTTATGTCTTCCAGAAAAAGATTTCCAGTTCAAGACACCTTAAGCTTATTAAATGTATTTGCAAAATCATGGATCATGCGCTGCTATTAGTAATAGTTTCTAGACTGTAAAAATACTTTTGACACAGCCAAAATCCCTCTGGCTATCTTAGGGCTGGAACATTAGCAGCAGCCAAGTGTGAGAATAATCTGAATATACACTCCTGATAAGAAAGTATTTGGCTTATGATGTCAGATCACAACAGTAACGTAACTGCTGCATTTCAGTATAAGTACCTAAACGTGGCCAACATCTTCTCTTGAACTGGCAAAGGAAGTGGTATTTAAGTTATAAAGCGGCCAAGGCCCAGCACAAACACATGTTCCGTTAGGTCAGATCTGTTGAGGATGTCACCAGTCATAGCTGGGAGAGAAAAAGGACATCTTAAACAACACTATTTATTTTATTTCTACTTGTGTGCTCAGAATTCACACTCAGTAATATGCCAAGGCTTTCCCACCAAGAGTGAATAAAAATGCATCCATATGCATTAGTTCCTCAACCTTCAACTGCCACGTTATGAAATCTGCAGTGCTGACAGCCTCTAGCAGGGGCCCACGAAGGACAAGTGGTGAAAGATTATCTGGAGGAAACTTTAACGCAAGTAAATCAAACTTAGTGTTCCAACTTTGTTTAGGAATTACAGCATTTTTATTTCTGCAGTAACAAGAATAAAATTCCACCGTTGGAAAAGTAACGTAATGGCAGCTGCTTGCGAGACCGCATAGAATTCCTTACAACGCGTCGATAAATCGCCGCCTCGCCCCGGCCAGCAGGGAAGCACACCGCCCACCTGCCTGCTGCTGCTGGGGCACGGGGCCGCTGGGGCCGCTCCAACCCCGCTTCCCGCACCGCCTGCCCGCGGGGCAGCTGTCAGCCAGGGCGGCCCGCCTGCCCCGCCGGCCCTCGGCCCGCACGGCCCCGTCCCGACACGGTGCCCCGGTCCCGCCGCTGCCCCCGCGGGCCGCGCCGACCCACACCGCGCCCCGGCCGCCAGACGCGGAGCGACGGCCCGGGGCAGCGGGGCGGGGCAGCGGGCGTACCTGCACCTCCGGCAAGCGCTGGCGGACGGCGGCGTCCCGTGCCTGCTCCTGGTCCTCCTCCTGCGGGGCGCCGCCGTCCCGGGAGCGCGGCAGCCACAGCGCCATGCCCGGAGCCGTCCCGGCGCCGCGACCCGGTACCGGAACTGGCGCAGCGACACTTCCGCCGCTCGCGCGGCCGGAGCGCCCGCCCTCGGCGCGGCGGG